ATGGTCACTGGCCAGTCAATACTTATACCGAAAAATTGATTATTCCCTTTAACCTGATATACAGAAGTTATAGAGTGAGTAGGGAAAATAAACCATTAAACACGGTGCTCACTCCAGATTTTATTAAATCCCCACATTTACCTGATTTGATTCCATGTAGCTTTTACTTTTACCTTTTATCTGTAGCTTTTGTATAGTTCCTATATACTATATTCATAAAACTAATATTTGTTTGTTTTTTATCCTGCAGTCCAATTATATGATTGCATTGCCAAATAGAATTCTGCATGTAGAAGAACCATTTAACTGAAATGAACTACTGAACTAAAAAAAGGGAGAGGGAATAACTCACATTTAGTAGTTCTTTTAAATAAATTTATTAGCGATCTACTAAAATCCATTACGTTTTGAGAAAAGCATTTATTATAAAAAATTGTAACTTTGATCAACTACTCCTATAACTAAATCTTATAAGCAATAAATTTTGCTAAACAGCTAACATTTTATTATAGCTGTAATGCACACGGGTTGATTTTTTATTTAAAGAACGTTTATTATTAGGTTAGGTTATGCTGGCAGACCAAAAAAGCCACGCGTAGACTATTAAGCTTCATTGCTATACCAGATCCGAGTCTTAATTTTTAGCTATATTGTGCATCACTTAGGATGAGCGTGTTATTAGCGAATTTTACTAGGATTTCAACAGTAACCTCAGGTATGTGCTCGAGTCCTGTAAAACTGACAGCCCCTAAGTATTTTTGTCGAGTTCTCGAGAGAGCCGCTGCGAATTAGGTTTAGTTTGTACGCATGTGATGCGACCAAACGTTTATTATTCAACTCCCAAAAATTTTCTGGAAAGATTATTTCAGCTTCGGTAATGAGAAGATTCGCGTACATTTGTTTTTCGATGTGTTCTTTTTTTAAAAATGGAATTCCAGACTGCTCTTTAACCAGGAACCTATTTTATCCTTTGATTCAAAATTTAATTAATTTCTTTTTACAATATATTCAACTTTAAGAAATATGTTATATATATATAATACCTAAAGAAAAATATATGGCTATAATATGCATAAACGGATGGACAGACGGACTTTTCAAGATTAAATTTAAATTTTGTGCATGTAGTTAAGAATGAAATAAATAACACAATTATAATATTATGAATTAAAATATTAACAACAAATAAAGAAAATATATGATAATAAACCAATTAAGAGTTTATAGTAATCAAATTCTATTAAAAATATATATAACCATGAGAAATTTACACAAACTTATACAACATCAATAGATTATAACAAGCTATTTAATGTTAGAACATTTTTATAAGCTCAGTATAAACTGCTATTGCTGTTGAAGCTAGTTCTAGAGATTCATCAGATATTTCATAGCCAGACCATGTTTCGCGGGATATTTGGTCATTAATTTTACAAGTAGCATCAAAGTGTACAACTAAAACCTCCTCCCTATTGGTAAAAAATTGAGACAGTCGATTTTCAGAAGCCTCTCTTGAAGCGAATTTTTTACCAGAAAAATCGTCCATGGACAGTAACTAATGATAATCACTTGGTACTAGGTCTGGACTATAAAATGGATACATAAGAACTTACCAACTAAGCTCCCGGAGCTTTTGGCGAGTCATTATCGATGTGTGTGAACTAGCATTGTTCTTATGGAACACAATTCTTTTCCCATTGCTAACAATTGCCCGTTTCCGAACGATTGCTTCCTCCAGTTATTCCTATTGTTAACGGTACAGTTCCGAGTTAAGAGTTTGGCCATAGGGAACGCATTTCATAATCACACTAAACACATACCAAAACCTTAGGCCATGAGTCCTGGTTTGGCCACCCTTTTAACTAGCTCAGCGCGATTCGACCAGGATAGTCCTTGACGTTGTCGTAAGTGATCCTGATAAACTTTTTATCATCAGCCACTAACAGCTTCAGAAATGGGTGGATTTTGTAGCGATTCAGTAGCGAAAATTCAGTCTACAAGGTTTTTTGCGTTAACTCGTGTGGCACCCATACATCAAAATTCTTTTTGTATCCAACCTTATTCAAATGGTTCCAAACGATTTTTGGTGCAATCTTTAGCTCTTTTGCAATCGAAGCAGTGGTTACATGATAACAATAAATTGGTCTCGACTATTTCCATGATTTTATCTACATTTTTGACAATTGACCTTCCAATGCTGGTACATCTTTGACATTAAAATTACTTGCACGAAAATTGCGCATGATTGGCTATAACAGTATCAGAACCATAAACACTATTCACATTTTAGCTGCCTGGCATGCGATCGCTGTCATCAAAGAAAAACTGTAAAATATTGCGTATTTTCTCTTTGCTAGGGTCTATGTTTGATGCGTGTTCAAACATAACTGAATGAACCAATTACCAAACTGTTAAAAGGTTTGTTAGGTACGAGATCTTATCTTACTAACGCTATCTATCGTAACCCGATCGGATTTCTACAACGTGCGATACAGATCAATAAACCCATCTATTGGAAAAATAATGGATTTATTTTTACTACATCTAATATTGTTGTTGTCTTTATTGTAGCCAGACCTTGTAATTTATCAGAACTATTCAAGTCGGATCGCCTTTCTTGGGATATCTGATCGCTAACTTTTACGTGTATTCTTATTATTATCCATATTCCAAGCCAATAATTATAATTATATAGATATCTAGAACCTATTGTACTTAAAAAGTGTCTTCAGAATACCAAGTTATGATTTTTTATATACACTACATCTACAACTGCATTGTGATGAAGAAAGTGAAATTTTAAACAATAATAAATATTAAATATTTGTTTTATCTATATTTATTTATATTAATAAACAATACATAATGTATATCATATCCTAACAGTATAGCTCTAAGGAGATCCAGGCATACTTGACATATTTGAGGATACTAGTAACTGATTGGTACTTTAACTATTACTGCTGTCTTTATGTCTATAGACGTATTGTTCAAAATAACAGTTTTCACGAGAGAAGATCACCACTTAAAACATATGAAGTGTATCTAATGCATATTAACTTCTAAGGATAGACAGACAAATGACAAATGTGATATGGAGCTGTCATCTTTAATATTCTCTCTGATAGATCTTTTAAAAATTTCTTGATCACATAGTCTTTGTAATATCCAAGAGGTGTTGAACAACAGTACTTAATATCAAGGACTGATTTTAAACAAATCGGATTATTATCTAATATTAGGCACATTTCTATTAAATTTGCAACGAAAATTAATTAAAAGTCATTTACTCTTGTGTTATTATATGAATAATTGGATCGATTTATTGCTGGAAACCCTTTATTATCGCTCAATCTGCTTAAATTATCTGCTTTGATCTCTTTTCTATGATTACTGGAATGAAGTTTCCACACTTCTGTGGAAATCTTCTTCATTCATTCCTAAATAGTGGTTTTAAAGGGTTTAAAAAAATTGGCTAAAAAAATTGCTTGTTTCCAAGCTTTAATAAGGCTTTACAAAAATAATGATGATGATGATGAAGTAAGCTAGTCCTAGACTCAGTCCTTGATATCTTCACTGTTAACCAAGAAATCTACCAGCTATATTAGCCTATTGTAATGAAATGACATATTAACTTATGTAATAAAACAAAACATCCAGGCAGGTGCCGTTAGCATGGTGTAAAACTGACGTATTCCGAAAAATACTAATTCTTGTCAACAAAATAGTTATCGTACCTAAACATATATTACATTATTCCTTACCTTCAAAGTTAATATATATCTTTCATTTATAGATATGTATATTATTTCATTTAGACATAAGAAAGAAGTAGAAGAATGTACCACCCAAAATTAAAACAACAGTAACCGATCTGTATGCAAAAGTACAGCCTTATGGAGCAAACACCAGTCTAGAAATAAGAAATTTAACTCCTCTCATATGATTTTATTCATTTCTGGAACTATGAAATCAACTCTTACGGCAAAATTTAAAAAATTTTGGGACTATTGCGATTAATTACTATCTCCTATTACATATTTCTTTTGAAGATAAATTACATTCGCAATACATCGCCAGTTTAAAATATAAGTACAGTCAAACTTCCATAATTCGAACTTCTATAACTCGAATTTCTTTCCCATAGTCCTTTTTTCCAAATCAAATGTTTCAATTTTTACTTTCTTATGTTGCTTTTTTGTGCAAATGCCAGCGACTGGTATTAACGATTATATTGAGTTTGACAATGAAATTTGTACATCAAGCTTTCCTACATATGACGATATTATTGAGCATTAAAGCTGTATCTCATTATAGTGAATCTGATTCTAAGCGCAACGGATAATGAGGGTTTGTTGGATGAAATTGTTTATCAGCCTTCCAAGAATGAAGTAGAAGACTTATTCAAATTCTGAATTGCAAGTGAATGACACCACAACTGATGATCACTATAAGGCTTTGAATATATTGGAATCTCTTTTTATTGAAATTAAAATCCTATCCTTAACTCTAAGTTCTGAACATTTTACTTCAATATAACTTCTGTGCTGTATTTGATTTTAAATAAATAAATAAAATTTTAAAACGTAATTCTAGCTTCTTTCAAGAATAAAAAAATTCTCTAATTCGAAGTCTCCATAAGTCGAACCTTATGGAGACTTCGACCATAAGTCGAACGTTTTCTTTGAAAAATGGTAGTTCGAGTAATGGAAGTTTGACTTTATATATTTATAAATATATAATAATATATATAGTAATATTTAAAAATGATTAAATTTATAAATTAAGTATATATTTGCACGAAAAAAATTAATATAAAATTATTTCGACTATTTCGAATTTTAATAATTAAATACATTTTAATAACAAAAAACGTTGGATATTTTATTTGCATTAAGCAAAAAAAATTTATTATTGAGTATAAATACATACACATAACATAGTGATTTTATTTAAAGTACATTTTTGATAATTTCTTTTTTGCTTTTACATAAGATATATTATATATAAATATGCATTGAAATATAACTTTTATAATATTTAAGTAAGATTCAGTATTGATTGAATATCTATCGTCAATATTTTATGGTCTAAACATTATTAATAAAATTTTTAAAAATTATTTTCTCTTTTTGTATAGAGACAAAAACGATTAAGAGTCTTTTATGTTTAAAATAGTATTTGCTAAAATTTTACAAAAATATAAGATAATGTACACAAAATTAGATATTTCTACATGCATCAGTTATGTTAAGTAATAATACAACTAGGAATAATGTCTCGCTTTTACTAATATAATATATAATAAATTTTAAGTAATGGAATTTTTCATTTCGCCAAAATTAATTTTAACAGTGTTAAACCAAAAGGAGAACAACATTAATAATTAACAAAAATTTTTAAAAAATTTACAAATATATTTGTTTATAAAATAATAAAAAAATATACAATATTATAGCTAACTTAAGACGAGCACTAGCTGCTAGGGCCATGGACAATATTTGCAAAATGCGTTTAAAATAAAAAGTTCGAAATAAAAATAACAAAAAAAAATCACTAACAAATAAGCACAAAATATATTCACAGCATTTCACTAACTATAAGTTTGGTCATAATTTCATTCATTTAAAATATTTTGATTTTGCTAATTATCATTCTGTAAAAGAATTTGCTTTAACTTCAGTCCTGTCAACCAGTCATTTTGTCAAGAAAAATGATATTACTTATGTTAATCGTTTAATGATGATGTCATCTTTGCCACAACGAACTTCCTTGAAGATATTGATATATAATGCGCTTACAAGTGACCATTCAGTTGGTCGCGACTACTGCGTAAATATAATGGGCTTGTGAAAGATTTGCCATCTACAAGTGTAGCCAAATTCTCACCGGCGTAACTAATGAAAGGTGAAATTTCACATTCATTCCCGTGTAGAATACCGCCAGCCAATTCAATATATTTCTTATGCAATCGATGAAGATCAGCGCGTGCAGTGCATGGACAGTCCTTGCCAGCCGAGTCAGGATTCTTAAGTGCGCTGAATTCTTCATCTCTTGGTACTTCCATGGCCACAAATTTTCTAGCAAATTCAAAAACATCGAAGACGAATTTTTCGATTTTAATGCCGTTTGGCTTCTCTGGTGTTATACGTTTACCGGAATTATCAATGAATGGTATCTTCTTTTTGGCCACATGCAATTTCAATTTTGTCTCATATTCGGAACCAATTTTATGTAAGAATGCTGTTGTGAAAAAGTGGTTACATATGTTCCCAGCGCTAAATGTTAGACGTCCATCAGAATTACGCATTTCAGCTGTTTTAGCAGATAATTCACTATATTCGACAACCTGGTACACTCCGTCAACAACTGCAACAACACCGACAGCTTCATTTGGATGCGATTTTTCAACTACTTTTGCAGCACAATCTGCATTCTCTTGCACACAGTAACCGATAAAAACTGGATCAGCTACTTTTATCAAGATATTGTCAACACTATGGGCATGTATGTACATGACACCACGCTTAGCCATATCAGCAAGTATACCTTGTTGTTTCATGGCACGATATATACCACCATTACCATCAGGTGCACGTGCGACGCGATGCTTATAATCGAGTATGATTTTTCCATCATATTCGAAACAAGGTAACGATCCCTGCTCAAATAAAATAACATTCTCTTTCTTCAAACCGAAGTAGTTGTTTGCAACAAAGTATTCATATGTGGGCTGTATGGTATGTTCTGATGTCATGATGTACCATGTTATTGAGCCACGTTTACTAGTTGACTCATAAGCCATCTCTTGTAATTTTAGTATACGCTCAGCTTGTATACGGAATAATGTTTTACGTGACTGTAAACCAATGTCGTACATGCCTTTTGGATGTGCAAAACCCAAGCGCGTACCTAGAATATAGACAAAATCGAGGTATTAATAGATATATTAACATTGTTGTAAAAAAAATAATGATAAGTAAATATAACAAATTAAACAATTCATATAAAAGTGACAATAATAAGAAATTATAAAAGTTATTCTAAGAAAAGTTATTATTGAAATAGTCAATGGTAAGATATCAGTAAAAGTTTTCTGATAATAAAAACATGTTTTTTTCCATATTTGTTTACGATATGATTATTATTTAAAAAAAATCAGGAACAATATTTTATTGTTCATTCATGCAAGTCAACATCTTTTTATTGTCTAAACTGCAATTAAATATTATAATCTATGAGACCACCATTCAATGGGAATGATGAGCGATATTTGGATGTCAATATTGACAAGACAATACAGGATGTAGACCTGTCATTAAATAAAAATAAATATTATTCTCCCGTTTACGACAGCAATCAAGTGTGTTTTATTATTTTTAGTGGACCATAGGTCCCGGCAACCATATATGAATTGCTTGCTTCAGGGTGAAAAAAGTTATAGAACTAATTACTTCTTAAGCATATTTTTGAATTTACCTCTAATATTTTTTAATAGATAATCGAAAGCGAAAGTTGTGTAAAGTTATGAGTGAGAGATACCGACAAAAAGATAAACAACTAAAGGAAAGAAGTATGAAAAGATAACCCATAATACGCCATAATATATAAAATTTATACTTTTTGCGCTTCAATTCGTGCTGTTTAAAATCTTTTGATATTTAAACTAGCTTGGCGTATTCAGTGTCTACACTGACTATGTCTTAGCGGTACCAAGAACGGCCGGATCTACGTCCCGAAGCTACTCGTCAATCTTGACGATCAAATGCCGTGTGGTGAGAAACTGATTACACGAGTACGTTTTTGATCTACTTCAAGAATAGACGAAATATATATGAATGTTTGTGTAAAATATTATGAACGTATTCATTTGAAATTTGTATCTCTCCAAAATCTCTCCAATTTTTCGCCGTTTTATTCTGTCCTTTTTCTGTTTCCGTCATTAGATTATGGATCTAGGCAACATTTAGACTGGAGGAATACATGCTTAAATGTGCCTAAACGCGTAATGTGATGATAATGTATAATTAATTTTGATTTTTAATAATAAATTTGTTTATCTTTGATGATAAGTAAATCCTTTAAAATCACAAAAAAAGACTAACTCTACAGAGTTAGTAGTCTGTCGATTCAATATAAAACTATCAACGAAGAGTTGTGATATCTCTGCAAGCTTAAGTTTACCTAAAGTCTAGAACTAAAATAAGTTTTAACTAATTCGTATATTGATATATTAAACAAACTATTAAATATTTTAAAATACTTCAATTTACAACAAAATATAATTTAATAATAGTTAATAATTAAATGTTTTAATGACCAAAAGAAATTTTTCTAAAAATAATTTTTTCCAAGGTCTAATTGGTCAGTCATTAAATAAATAAAAAATTTTTTTATTTAGTTTTATAAAATTTTTATTGTCCAATATTTCGACTATAATCTATAGTCATTATCAAGGAACTATACATATCATGTATAGTTATGTATAGTATAAAATAAAATAGTTAAAATAATAGTTATTTAAATCTCATAGAACAGGTATGTTGATTACGCACATCATAATACTAGATACTAGAGACTAGAATATTGTTGTATACTCGTATATATAATATATTACAATGTGTCATTATAATGAGTTAAAATTTAATAGTCCTTTTAATCAAGTCTTAACAAAATTATTTTAAAAAATAGAATAAAATTTCATAACTTTTTTGCCTTCCATAAACTGAGTCTAGTTCTTGACGTGAGGTCCGAGCATTTGAGTCATATTATTATTAGGTTGGGAATACTAGGCAAATCGACTCAAATGTTATATTTTGATAAATAACACAACATAGATACTTCCAAACTTAATGAAATCCTAACAGTTCACATAATACAACGCCTGGTATTAATATCATTCGAGTGGATTCATTATTTCAAATCTGGCGAATTGATACCAAGTACATAGATCTCTCCATTATTTTCTTTTTATTGTTTTTTATTCGATTTATATTTTGTATCCAAACAAGAATTAAATGTTGACATTTAATGCAGGTTTTTAATTCAAACATATTTTTTAAACTGCAGCTTTGGTTGGTGCTGGTGTTGGCTTGATCTGGTTGACCTTTAAAACATGTTTTGATTTCTGCTTCTTGTTAATAAGTCAAGAAATATCATTTTAAGGTACAAGCAGCAAAGCGAGCAGAGATTGTCTTTAAGAAGTTGATCGACTGGCATTTCATATACTTTTGAATTATAAAATTTATCTCATTTGGTCTCTTTCGTTTTCTTTTGGTTACAGGTTTCAGCGCTGGCATATTAAGTAATACTAAGTTCAGCAGATTTTTTCACACTTTTTATTTCATTATGCATAAATAAAATTTTTTATAAGTATTCATTACAAACAAATCAATCTAGCAAAATATTTTTAAAAAAAAAAAAAACTTAATTATTTCTCATTTAAATATAAAGCAGGTTTTTTGATTTTATCTGACGACAAACGGTTGATACTAATTATTAATATTTATTTGTGGAATTTTGCTTTGCGACCTAGAGATCGTTCATGCTCCTTTCATGGATTCAGGGTATTGTTCAGAGTCTAATTTCCCCGATAGATCGTAGTATTAAATTTACTTTATCGAGTCTAATTTCTTCATTATTGGGATTTGACCCAATAGAATATGGGACTGCCCCTTTTCTGGTTAGTTCATCGTCTTTCTCGAATCCGCTGTGTCTTGAGATCCATATTAAGTGGAGCCTTTGATCTTTGAGAAATTAAAAGCATTCCCACACTAGTTTTGAAGTCACTCGAGGTGAGCGTAGTGGTAGAAGTGCTGATTTGCTGTCAGAGAAAATATATATGTTTTTTCCCGTGGTGGGTTTTTTTTTATATTCCCTTAGGCATAGTTCAATTGCGTGTAAAACTGAGTTTTCTTGACTCATACTCGCAAATATTTTCTCTTTTGGTTTAAACCCATAGACTCCCGTCCACTACTTCCATCGCTTCAGAGCCATCTGTGTACCACAGAAGGTAATCTTTAACACATGAAGGCATGATCAGTTCCCAGTCATTTCTGTCTGGTATTAGTACACGAAACTTTTGGTAGTAGTTAAATTTAGGTGAGCAAATGTTAGATATGTTAATGTTTAGTCCTTCCTCTCTTTGCATTTCCTTACCTAGAAGGGAGTTATCGAGTGATATTGTTGATCGATTACTAGTCAACTGTAGCTTGGCTATAAAGGTCATTGTTTTCATTTTGATAAGTAGTATAAATAAAAATAATAATAAAAGTAAGATGATGGCTCTATAATTTTGGGAATTCATAAGTAAAAATTTTACTTCAAAGCATTGTGGTTGTTGTACATTATAAGGAAGCTCTTAATTGTTGCATAGAAAATAATAATAATGCTTAAAGAATGAAGTCGGAGAAGTACATAAACCCATATAAACCTTAGACTAATATTGCATATTATTGGATCGATTGAATGAGGAAATAAAAGAAACGACATTTGTCAAAGAAAAAAAATTTGTTTTTGCAGGATAACGTACCTGTTCACACGTCAATGAAAATTATGGGAAAATTATATGAATCACGTTACGAATTGCTTCCCCACCCATCATATTCTTCAGATTTGGCTCCTAGTTACTATTACCAGTTTCCAAGCTTGAAAATATGGCTCCAATGATTTGCATTTCATAATGAAATGAAATATAAAAAATCATTGGACTCGGCGTGTCCAGCTAAAAGGGAACTACATTGAAGCATAAAATACTCTATTGTGACTGGGGGGCTTATCTCTGCCCCACACTAAACTTTAACTATACTAGAATCTTTATAATTTATTTATTTTCTAACTGATGACGGACCGTAGATCAGCATATCTTCCTGCGCGTCCTGAGGTGGACTTAAGGTTTGTTAGAGCGAGATTGGGCAACATATCAACTTTTGTGAACAATTTTAGGGCTCTGTCCTTGATATACTTTTTCACTGAGTCAATTCTTACATCTCTATGCATGTCTGTTGCCGGACATTGATCAATCCGCCTAATATATGCGTCAACGCTAAAAATATAGTTCACATTTAATTTTTTCGAATATTGTGACAATGGTTGTAAGACCATATTATAAGACTTTATAATTATTTTAAATGCGGTATCGTTCATATAAAAATTGTGCGGAGATAGAGTATATGAATATGTTCGACTTAAGCTCATGTATATATGGTATACGCGGCTTTTTTGTATTATATTCTTATATATTTTTCACTATCTCAGTTTTGTTAAGTAGGTTTTTCTTGAGTATCTTTAAAAACTTAATTTGGAAATGCGAAAATTTTATTTACTGGATCCTATACTTGTTATTAAAGCGTTAAGTTAATTTAATACTGTAACCTAGAAATCTCGTAAATTTAATGGCAACAATTAAAACGAATTTAAAAGTAGAACTTATAATAATAAAATTGAGAGAAAATAGAGACATTTTTATTTGTAATTAAAGTCAAGTAAGTTCTTTTTATATTAGAGGCATAGTAATAAACATCCCTGACCCAAAATACTGTTTAATAACTTAGTGTAGTCTCCAGATAATTGTAATTACAAAAATAAAAATAAAATGATAATATAAAAGTAAAAATAAAAGTTTGATAAAATAAAAATTGTACTAAATAAAATTAAAATTTGAATTAATTAAAAATAAATTTTGTAAATAAAATAAAAATAAGTATACACGAGTACAATACACAGACTTCAAAACGTTTGACAAAAAGCGCAGATAAGGAAATTTAAATTCCATATTTTTTTCTTCTCTTCTTTGCATTGTGAAATAATTTTATAGATAAAAATAAAATATAATATCTGTGACTTTTTGACAAAACTAACGAATTTTAGTTGTTATCAATCTTTGTACCTCCCGGAAGAAAATACTAATTTTT